GAAAGCCAGGTCGTCGATGTAGCGGTCGACGATGGCTTGTTTGATGAAGAGGTCGGGGTCGCGGTAGTAAATGTCTCTTTGGTGGGTTAGCAGGGGGTCAGATTGTATCAGGTTGAAGGTGCAAAATGGGTAGTGGGCATTGAGATGCTCTGTTAATATTCCAGGGCTTAGATGGGATAATCATGAGTGTAAAGTTATGAGAAATCACCCACCTTTTTGTGGTTACAATCCCAGTCACCAACGCTTCATGAGATAGCTCCAATATACGGAGCAAAGCCGCTATGAAATCCAACCGTGAGCATAATTCAACCATTATCAGAACCCCAGAAGCACTTACCAAACTTCCAAGCCTCTTTCTGAGTCTTTCCCGGAAAGGTGATCTCCTTGGTCTCAACATTCCTAGTATTTCGAATCGCCCCAGTGGCAGCGTCTAGAGTTTGACCGCCTTTTTTTCCTCTCGACTTGATGTGTAGAACGAGGCACTTCTTTTCGTTTATAATACGGTCAAGGAGAGATTCGAAAATGTCTTCGATTTTGGTTATAACTTCGCCGGCTTGGAGGTTATTATTTCTTGGAGCTCCTTGGGAAATGAGTTGGCTGTCAGCGTGATTTTGCTGAGATGATACGTTGAGTTGATTCTGGGATATTAGTTTGTCATATGGTGAGTTATGTAGTAACAATCTGTCTGATGAAGCATCTTGATAGAGATTGAGGAGATCATGATCCATTGCTGGATATTTTTTGGTGGATAATTTATTCCATTGATGAGAAATATATATCCTAGCACCAATATCTGAGAGGTCACCATAAGACGCAGATATTCTCTAAAGAGGAATATATAATTTATTTTTCAAGCTGCTCAGAATAATATCCTCGGTCTCATTCGTCGGTTCTTTCAATAATCGGTATAATTTTTGAGCCAAGATTCTTCATCCAACAAGGTGAGACAACTTTGATCCCATCTCTTGACTGACACAAATTCGCTTTGTCAGTGGACATTGACAGCGGCGCTAAGACCACTCCCTGGCTCAGGGGCGGTGTGGCTGTGTGGGACGCGCGCATCCCTGTCGATCCTAAATTCCCGTCTCCCCGTTCCCCACAAACCAACCACAAGCACTTGTGCTACTCCCTGGATATTCCAAGTGCGAAGCTCCCTGCGACGCCGTTGAGATAGCCGAGCTGCCTTTAAGAGAGGGCCAGACCTCCGTGCGATATTCAGACAGCTTCAATTGTGTACAATTGACGTCGTTTACTGAGTTCCTACGCGATGTCGACCAGATCAGGGAAGACGCCGAAGGGCAAGAAGGCCAATGGCACCAGCTCCGCCATGACCGAACATACGGATAAAACCCGCTGGCGTATGTTGGACGACGATGGACGACAGACATGGCATTACCTGGAGGACGACAAGGAGGCCAAAGCCTGGCCCCAATCGTTCGCCGACAAGTACTATGTTGGCCTACCACTTGTGCGTACACCATTCGTCGCGTTTTACACCCCTCTTCAGCTATTATTCAGCTACTAACAGCTCCCAGGACGCTCCCGAACTGCCCAAAGCCAAGACCCCCCTCGAAGCCGTCAACAATGGCCTCGAATTCTTCGAGAAGCTGCAGCAACCCCCCGGAAACTGGGCCTGCGAGTACGGCGGACCGCTCTTCCTCATGACGGGCATCATCATCACCTGGACCATCACCGACACTCCCATCCCCGAGGCGCACAAGATCGAGATGCGCAACTACATCTTCGCGCGCGCCCACCCCGAGGACGGCGGCTGGGGTCTACACATCGAGAGCGACAGCACCGTCTTCGGGACCTGCATGAACTACCTAAACCTCCGTCTTCTCGGCGTCCCCGCCGACGACCCTCGCGCAGCAAAGGCCAGAGCGACACTGCACAAGCTCGGAGGCGCGCAGCAAAGCCCCCACTGGGCTAAATTCTGGATGAGCTTACTCGGCATCGCGCACTGGGATCTCGTCAACCCCATCCCCCCTGAGTTCTGGCTCATGCCCAACTGGGTGCCCGTCCACCCGTGGCGCTGGTGGATCCACATGCGCCAAGTCTTCCTTCCCAGCGGCTACATCTACTCCAAGCGCTGGACATACCCCGAGACCCCCCTAATTCGCGAACTGCAGCAGGAGATGTTCACGGAGCCATTTGAGACTATGAACTGGAAAGGACACCGTAACTCGATCGCCCCCATGGACAACTTCCACCCCAAGACCTGGATCCTCAACCTGATCAACTGGATTCTCGTGAACATCTGGTTCGCCTTCCTGCGCCCCAACTGGATCAAGACCTGGGGCGAATCCCACGCCTTTAAGCTCATCGAGATGGAAGACGCCAACACCGACTTCAGCGACCTCGCCCCAGTGTCCGCGCCCATGAACACAATCGCCTGCTTTATCGAGCACGGCCCCGACCACCACTCCGTCAAGCGCCACATCGATCGCCTCCAGGACTACCTCTGGGTCAAGTCTGAGGGTATGCTCGTCAACGGCACCAACGGTGTGCAGAACTGGGACACAGCCTTTGCCATCCAAGCCGTCGTCGATTCCGGGCTTGCCACCGAGGAGCGCTGGCGCCCTATGCTAACCAAGGCCCTCCACTATCTCGAAGGGCAGCAGATCCGCGAGGATGTACCGAACCAGGCTGCATGCTACCGCCAGCAACGCAAGGGCGGGTGGGCCTTCTCCAACAAGGACCAAGGCTACGCAGTCTCGGATTGTATCGCCGAGGCACTGAAAGCCGTAATCATGCTCCAGCACACCCCCGGCTTCCCCACCCTCCTCGAAGACCAGCGCATCTTCGACGCAATCGACACCCTCCTCACCTTCCAAAACACCTCCGGCGGCTGCGCCTCCTACGAACCCCAGCGCGGGTCCGAGCACCTCGAGCTACTCAACGCTGCGGAGGTCTTTGGACGCATAATGGTCGAGTACGATTACCCTGAATGCACTACCGCCGTCGTGACCGCTTTATCCTTGTTCTCCTCCCACTGGCCTGATTATAGAGCCAAGGAGATCGCAACACAGAAGGCGAGGATGGTGCAGTGGATCAAGACTAACCAGGCCGCTGACGGGAGCTGGTATGGGAGCTGGGCTATCTGCTTTACCTACGCTACTATGTTTGCGTTGGAGAGTTTGGAGGCGATTGGGGAGACGTACGCCAACTCCGGCCCTTCGAAACGCGGCTGCGATTTCCTCGTCTCCCATCAACGTCCTGATGGCGGGTGGAGCGAGAGTTATCGCGGGTGCGAGACGATGGTCTACACCGAGCACCCCTCCGGCTCCCTGGTCGTGCAAACAGCCTGGGCTGTGTTGGGGTTGATGTACGCCGAATACCCGGACCGTTCTGTGATTGAACGCGGAGTGAAGTTTATCATGGGCAGACAGCAGGCGAATGGGGAGTGGCTCCAGGAGTCGATCGAGGGGGTGTTTAATAAGAGCGCGATGATTAGTTATCCGAATTATAAGTTTACGTTTGTGATGATGGCGGTGGGGAGGTGGGGGAGGTTGGAGAAGGAGAGACTGGAG